GGGAATAATCCTTAATTTTCAGTCTCATCATAACTACAGACTAAAGATCGAAATACTGAGGAGTTTGATCATCAAAATCTTACAAATAACGAACAATGAGTTCTGGGATGAGGAGTTGGACAAACTGACTCAGATTTGCCTTAGTAACGGATGCCCCAGAGCATTTATACAAAAAATGTAAAGGTTATAAAAGGCCGATTATATGAAAATCAGGATGACAACCAAAAGTGGATTTGCTTTCTTTCATCAGAACTGAGCCAACAATTGCGACAGTTTCTAAGTCAATTAAATATCATGGTGGTAACAGAGAAGAAAACACTTTTAACCAGTTTGACGACACAAAATGAGAAGACGGACAAGCTTAAACGCCCGTGAGTTTATCTCATCAAATGCGGCAACTATGAGCAGAAGAATTTCGGTGCTTCAAGGCCGACATGACTTGATCTAGCCAGGTCACTTTATACCTCATCAATGACCTTACATAGAAGGTATACATATACAGCATTTACGGATGAGCCAGTGAGTTTAGTTGATTCGTTAGCTTAAATATGGCTGTAAGAATAACACTATGCTCTGATTATGTCCGTCATGCGATGAATAAAGGTACGTTTTAAAAAGTTGTTTAGGGAGCGGTGTTAACAAGAATTTTGCAATAAGGCAAATTGGCGGATGGTCAGGAAGAATAGGCTATTGTATTCTGGTAGACCGACTTTCAAATCTCTGCACCAAAAAGTTTCACCCAAAATGGAACTAAGTTGAACATCTAATCTAAACAAATAGGCACACAAGAAAAAGAACAGTACTTAGAACATGCAAATTTGATTATGAAAATGAAATAGGGGTCGTTATTGATATTTATAGGCTCCAATGTAGTTATATGCATTTCTTACTCAATAACACGTAAATAAGACGAGTAAAGTACGTTCGATCGTAGTGTCTTAAGCAAAAACAAGAAGCAGAATAAATAAAAGCATCAAGTTTATGTCTTTTTTAGCAGAAAAGTGTAATTGTTTCTATCAAAGGTTTCTTCTATTTCTTCTCTAATGATAAGTCTTGCCCTGGGACGCCTTCTCAACAAGCGCTTCTCCCGTTCTTCTGGCGTACAGTCATTAAGATCTAAAGGTAACTAAAAAGAAATATTAATTTTGACAAACATTCGTCACCTAACCTTAAGGATGCAACGTGGCTCGGGATAACGGATGCCAATCGAAGCACCATTAGGGAATACTAAAAATGTTGGGTACATACGGCCGTATATCTTCCTGTTTATTTTGCATATCGCTGCCCTATTAGAATTAAAACGTATAATATCCCTTGAGAATAAATTGGGGGATGCGATACTTTAAAATCCGGGGCGCCCGGAGGAGAAAAGTATGGAGTGGCATCGAGAACAGGCCTACATCACCAAATAAATTGAGTAAACGCGCTGGCAATAGTAATATGAATCACAAGCTAAAATGTTTTTTTCTGAGAAAAAAGGGTTATTTTTACAAGGAAAAAAATTATGTTTTAAAGAATTTGTAAAAATATGAATTTACAATGTGTGTTACTTATGAGGGGTAATTGTTCATTCCGTTTCGGAAGTTTGTGGTATACTTACCATTTAAAAGTTTCAAGCTGGTTGAATTATTTGTCATTTATATAATAAATTCCGATGTATATAGGTGGGTTGACCTTGTTTTCGAAATTTAGTCTTATTATGAGGGAGACTTAGTAGAACGCACCTTGTCGAAAGTCTTCTGCCGTACCAGGTATCATAATTCACGGCATCAGACCTTGGGCTTGTGACATTCACAGCCTCTTCGTCGGCATCGTTATCGATCCCCTGCAAGCATGCTACTGAGACCTAGGAGACGTCGCAAAGACAAGGCAAAATTCAATGGTAACGTAAGTTATACTCATATCATTGTGAAAAAATAAACTTACCAGTCCCACATATAATATAATATACCATGCTTACGCAAGCAGCTAAACGCCAATATATAGGGAATCAATATAAAATAAGTGATTAATCTTAGACTGGATGAGTTAACTTTGTGTTTAAAAAGTGTAGTGTAATAAAATGGAAAGAATTACCATATTGCAAGTTATCATTTGAATCATACATTTGCAGCCGATCCTCGTGAACATAAAATGATTATAATTGCGTTGACCTCGTATTCGCAATTTGGTCTTGTTGTTAGGGCGACTTAGTAGAATGCACCTTGTCCGAAGTCCTTTACCATAGCAGTTATCCCACTTCACAGCATCATACCGTGGGCTTTGTACATCCTCATACGTTTCGCCGGCATCGTTATCGGCATCATCATTAAGTGTTGCCATTCTCCTCACAAAGGTACAAACTCGTCAAAGAGACAAGTGAAGTCAATACCTCGACCAAAGTTCTGCCGATAACGGTTACACTAACAGTCCTCTTTCTGTTTTGGCCCATCCATCAACTCTTTATCCTCTTATCAAACTTCCGCCATATCACAACTTCTCACTTTTTTACATTCCACTGGTCAAAATGTGTGCTTTCTTGTAGCAAATCTAGGGTGACCTCATCACACCTAGCCCATTCACCCGACCCCCTCTTCCTTGATCGGCTAATCCAACTCAAGCCTCATGATCCCGTAGATCCGCTTCTTATCTTTCTGATTGAGTGGTTTCACTCGGTTCCAGTCCCGATGAGCGTTTTACTCCATGCGCTAT